ATCATCATAGTGAGTCATGCACATTTTATTCCTCTTTTAAATTATTCCACTCTTAAAAGTTTTAATTTATTCATTCATCTTCTTCCTTTTGTGCACTTTTCCATTACTGAGCTTCTTTTGTTCACCTGTTATAGGCTGTGTTTATTGTTTTGGCTACAGTGATTTTCAGATAAGTAAATGATATCTTATCTAACGGTGCCTATAAGAGCTGCCCTGGGGGACCCTGGAGCTGGGCCCGGGCCCGGGCCTCTGGCTCATCCTGATAAGAACCACGGATTTATCACAATGTGTTTTCTTGCACCTGCGTGCAAAAATTTAAACTGTGAAACAGACTTTCCACAGTGATATGCTGCGGTTTGTGGAGGAGAGGCCACTCTCATTCTGACTCTTTTCGACCACAGAGCAGAAAACAACCGCTGTGCGGCTGCTGTTCTCGTTTGCCAGCCTTGAATCGCGCTCACCTCTCATGGCGACGTCGATGGGGCTGAGTCCTGCTGCAAACACCTTGACAATCACCTCATTGGGATAGTTGATGATGGGAAAGCTGGCGTTCTTGGTGAACCGTAAGACCTCATTGCTTCCGTATTTATCAATGACCCAGGCGGGCATGACAGTCCTGCACCTGCTGGAGGTGCTGAGCAGCCTGGCGCACCTGGGCAGGGAGCTGTGCACACCTGGAGACTCGCTCAGGTGGAGCAGCACCCTGCTGTGCACCAAACGTCTCAGAGAAGTCATCTTTAGCATCTCACAAATACAACTGGACGCGCAGGCGCATTCAACGTGCGCAGATTAGAGGGTGAAGCTGGTTGAAATCTGCCGCTACCTGCTCTCTCTGTCATGTAAACACACGTGGAAGTCTCACATTCATCTAAACGAAGTGGAAATGCTTAAAATCCTCATGTGGAAACGTCCTTCCGCTCTTCCCTAACACCGGCTGCCTCCTCCGGTGTCTCCGCCAATCAGAGCGCGAGTTACTAAACCGCTGTCGAATCACAGGCAAGCGTGTTAGAGGAAACAAACATGGCGGCTCGCAGAGGCCGTTCGCTGCAGGAAGGTTGTTTGTAAAGTGAAAGGTGCTCCGAGATGCTGAGCCGGACGATAAAGCAGGTCAGTGACGGCAGTGTCTGTGCCGCGCAGCGACTCACCGACACACGAAGTCTTCATCAGACAGACGACGAATCATCGTCATCAGACAGCACGCAGTGACGCGTTAGCAGCCACTAAAACGCGTACAGGTAGCATGAAGGCATAGCTGAGAATAGCGGCGGTTTCATTTTGAGATATGCAACATGTTTATAACGAATGAAGCCCGTTTGTGCCGCTTTGTAATGACGTCTTTATTACATGAGAAAGCTGCAGGAACAACAGAGAGGTGGTCAGCGAGCATCATGTTGATGGAGAAGCGCAGAGCACTGTGGATCACAGACAGCAGTGGGGGTCAGAGCACATTTGTGAAGTGATGGCATGCTATGGTGTATGGTTTGGAGACGATGGCAATAACAAAAAGACAGCTGAAGATGTTTAGATGTTCTCTGGGAGTGAGCAGGATGGCGAAGATTAGATGCGAGTCCATCAGAGGGACTCAGAGTTAGAGGGGAGAGGCTGAGAGGGTTTGGACATCTGCCGAGGAGGGAGAGAGGATATCTTGGAGAAAGGAAGATGAAGATGGAGCTGCAGGCAGGAGGAAAAGCGGAAAACCTCAGACGATGATGGATGTCGTGAAGGACATTTTCAATTCAACTTTATTTGTACAGCAGAAAATCACAACAACAGTTGTCTCAAGCTGCTTTATACTGTAAGGTCGAGACCATACAGTTATACAGAGGAAACAGAAACCCCAACAGTCACATGACACCTGTGAGCAAGCGCTCACCTCCGGCATCTCCAAGCTTAGGGAGGGGCAGCCATCTGCTGTGACTGGTTGGGGTGAGACGCGCTGTGGAAGAGAGCCAGAGATTATTAATAACTCATGGTTAAATTCAGTGAGGTGTAAAAACACATGGTGAGTGAAAAAGCAGAAGAAGAGGAAACACTAACAGATTCTAATTTGTTCATGTAAATGGAGAGTCTGGAGTTCCACAGGGTTCAGTGCTGGGACCAATTCTGTTTACATTATACATGCTTCCCTTAGGCAGTATCATTAGCATACATTCTCACTGCTATGCATCTTTCTCCTATATATCGACTGCAATATATAAGAAACACGGGAGTCTCCCAGTCCATCTGTCCCCCACAGAACAGCAGTCTGCTGTGTCTGCACTGTGTTCTGTCTGCTGTTGAATGTGCAGTCCTGCGTTGATTCTTCTTGCTGCTTTACTGTCATGGTTAAAAAAGCTTCGATGTAGTTTCTTTGTGATACTGTAATGCTATTAATAAAATGCACGAGTTTGATTCCAGCTCTGCTGTTTCATCGTCGTTCTTCAGGTGTCTTCAGCGCTGCGGGAGGGACGAATCTCTCCGACAGAGCTCTGCAGAAAATGCCTGAATCGCATCAGGAAAACACAGCACCTGAACGCTTACATCACGGTGACAGAGGAGCGTGCTCTGGAGCAGGCTCAGCAGGCAGAACGCAGACTGCAGCGAGGTGAGGACATCTCGAGCCGGGCTCGATTTGGTTCCGTGTGACTCGGGTGTCACTGCTTGATCTCTTCTACCTTCAGGTGTGCCCAAAGGTCCTCTGGATGGAATCCCGTTTGCTGTCAAGGATAATTTCTGCACGGAGAATATAAGGACCACATGTGCCTCCAGGATGCTTAAAGGTCTGTGTGAAGTGGGTTAATAAAAACAACTTGTTTTTCACTCCATTGCAGCCCAGTACTTATATATCCTGCTTTTCCTGCAGACTACACTCCTCCTTATAACGCCACAGTGGTCCAGAAACTCCTCGACCAGGGGGCAGTTTTAATGGGGAAGACCAACATGGATGAGTTTGCAATGGGGTAACTGAGTTTTTGCAGCATTTTTGATTAAAGTAGAAGAGATGTCAGGACTGAACATTTAAGTGTTGTTAAAATCTGCAACCAAATCCGTTCACACCTACATCAAGTGTTGCAGTCTAAGCGCAGAGTCAGACTAACGAACTGGTCGTCTGTGCGATGGATCGACCACAGTGTGAACAAACTGCAGCAGTTTAATGTTTCTGATGTAGAGGAACAGAAACCAGCACTGGGAGGTTAAACTGGATCTTTGATCTGGAGGAAATGTGACAAAGTGCATTCTGGGTAAACTTTGCAGGCTCATATCAGCATGTGAGATTAGTGGCTGCTCAGAACAAGTTAGAGCAGATGAAAGGTGACCTTTGTGCCTACATTTGATGCCTCCTGGCTCATTTTCTAGTCATTGTGGAGTTACATGTGGATCCTTCTGTCCTGTCGGTCTGTATTGTTGAGCTGTTTGCATCATCAGATTATGAAAAATAAGGGTTTTGGTGGGAAAATCTTCATATCCAACACTAAACTACATACCAGGAAAATTACTGTTTGGGAATTGTCAGAGTCATGAAGCCTGAATGACTGCAAGGCGCCGTGCGTTGTCATGCATGTTGCCCCGCTGGTGTTGTTCAGGTTCTTTGGACATGATTCAAAATGTTCATCCCGGTTCCATCTAAGTTATACTTGCAAACTCCATCTTTGTGTAGCGCTGACTCACAGCATTCTCGTGTGAGGAGGAATCAAAATGTGGTTAAAAAGATAAATTCACTGAACAAACAAAGGTTACAAAAAAGATTTCTGTGAATTCTGCAGGTGAGCTGCAGTTTTTCTCATATGGATCCGTTTGTTTTCCTCGCAGTGCGGGCAGTACTGATGGTGCTTTCGGCGCCGTAAAGAACCCCTGGGGTTACGCCGCGCCCTACAGAGAGCGGACGAAGGCAGACCCGGACTCGGACTGGGTCGTCACTGGAGGCAGTTCAGGTGGAAGCGCCGCAGCTGTGGCCTCGCTCACCAGCTACCTGTGAGGAGACGTGTTCGGGCTCTCGTCTTCAGTAAGACTGTCAGGATCTCCGTGTTTACATGTGATGCTCTTCTTGGCAGAGCTTTGGGTTCAGACACGGGCGGATCCACACGAAACCCCGGGTCATTGTGTGGCGTCGTGGCCCTGAAGCCCACGTATGGTCTGCTGTCCAGACACGGTCTCATCCCCCTCGTTAACTCCATGGACGTCCCGGGCATAATGACACGCAGCGTGAACGATGCGGCCGTCGTCTTAGGTGAGAATCCCCCAGGTGACCCTGGACATCAACACGCAGCAGCTCTATGATTAAGAATGTCTGAATAAGAATGTCTGCCGCTCTAAAGGAAACTGCAGCTGTCTCATTTCGCAGCACATCGGCCAAACGGCACGACTCACCTGGGATTATGTTGTCGTGTCGTGCAGGTATCCTCCAAGGCCTCGACGTCAGAGATTCAACAACAGTTCCCGCCCCTTCATCACTAACAGAGCTTCCTGAAGACTTTGATGTTAAGAACATCTGTGTGGGCATCCCTAAGGTGACACTACAAACTACCTCAGCATTACACGCCAACATATTACTTTGCAGGAGTGAATATTGAGGTCAGCACTGAGATGAACCTTAACATGGAAGCTGCTGAGATGATTGCATTGATTGCAAAGGCAGGTAGATGAAAGTCGAGTATGAACAACATGTTGAGCTGTTGTTCCGTCTCTCCTGTGCTGCACGTCAGGAGTATCACGCCCCGGGCCTCTCCGAGGAGACTTTGGCTCAGTGGAGCAGCGTGGCCGACTTGTTTGAGGAAGCTGGAGCGCGGGTGGAGCGAGTGTCGCTCCCCCATACGCAGTACTCCATCGTGTGCTACCACGTCCTGTGCCACGCCGAGGTGGCGTCCAACATGGCCCGGTTTGACGGCCTGGAATACGGTAATGAATCGTGCTGTGGTGTGTGGGTTTGGCACTTCTTATAGCGGATGTGATGAAGTCTGACTCTGCCAGCAGGCCACCGCAGCCAGATGGACACCTCGACAGAGGTCATGTACGCCTCGAGCAGGCACGAGGGCTTCAACGACGTCGTCAGAGGGAGGATTCTGTCTGGGAACTACTTCCTGCTAAAACGGTGAGACTGAGCCGTCGTGTTTCCGAGCCATGGAGGGATCCTGTGATCCTCTCCATCTCTCGATCTTTTTCTAAAGAATAATTGTGTCCTTTTATTTTCCCTCAGGAACTACCAGCACTACTTTGTGAAGGCTCAGAAAGTTCGCCGGCTCATTGCGAATGACTTCCAGCGCGTGTTCAGCTCTGGTGTCGATGTACTGCTGACGCCCACCACGCTGACGGATGCGGCTCGTTACCACGACTTCACTCAGGAAGATAACCGAACGCGCAGCGCACAGGAAGACGTCTTCACGCAGCCCGCCAACATGGCAGGTAGGCCCTGAAGCTGCATGCAGAGGAAGTGTGGGAGGAGCATTTAAATATGTTGGGGATAAGCACACCATGCACACCTGTAACTGAGGAGCTTAAGAAGCTGCTTCTCGTTTCCCTCCTGCACATGAAGTGAAATGAAACTGGTGTTTTTGAGCCGAAGCATCCAGCTTCTCTCAACTCTCTCTCTCTCTGCACACCAGGTCTCCCTGCTGTCTCTGTGCCGACGGCTTTGTCGAGACGGGGCCTTCCCATTGGCCTACAGCTCATAGCTCCCGCTCTCCAAGACCGGAAGCTGCTCAGCGTGGCCCAGTGGATCGAGCAGAGGGTTGGTTTCCCCTCGATCAGTGACTTTGAGGACTCGGGAATGACGAGACGGGAGCAGACGGGAGCTGCGTGAGGAGCTTGAAGCTTCTCCGTTACCTTGACTGTCTGTCACAGCTGACTTTATTTGTCGTGCTAATAAACACATGCATTTGTTCTAAGGTCTTTTTTTTACTCCTCAGCCTTTCAGGACATTCTTAGGATCCATAGGGACGCTCAGTTTAAACAGCTTGGATCTCGTATCTGTATGAGTG